TGATCAGTATTAATTATCTTTGACTTTCCCATAAACAATTTTAAAAAGAAAAAAAATCACAAGGATGTGAACACCTACAGCATCACCAATAAGCACTCTGATATATAAATGAGCATTTGCTGCAAACAGAAATATTCCTGTTCCTTTGAGTCATGGGATCCAAATACCATAAGCAGTATTTAGGACTTGGTATTTGACTCTCTATTAAATGAATATTCACCTTATTCTCTTAGGCAGAACTAGTAACCCTTAACATTTTTCAGATAAAGGATATAAAGATAAATAGGTAGAGCATGGCAGGAAGAAGACAAACGTATTGTAATGACTCAGTTTAATATACATTCAGTTTTGCCTAATCTCAGATATAGTAGCTCTATCTTGTGAAATTATTTCTTAGTGTATCATTACAGGTAGTCCTCAAATTACGACCATTTGTTCAGCAACTGTTCAGAGTAACGACGGTGCTGAACAAGGGGGACTTACGAACAGTCCTTGGAGTTCCAACTGTCGTAGTGTCTCTGCAGCCACATGATCACAATTTCCAGCATTTCCTGCCAGCTTCCCACAAGCAAATCAATGGACAAGCCAGCAGGAAGTCAGAAGTTGCAATCACATGAGGCCCTCGTTTAACAACCCGTGTGGTCCTCAGATTACAACGGCAACCAGAACTGCTGGAATTGCTGTCACTAAGCAACACAGTCGTGTGATGTCACTTTACTATCGCATCACTTAGTGATGGAAATTTCAGTCCCAATTGCGTCATAGCCCAGGAACTACCTTAGTTAGTGTCTAAATAAAATAAAGCAGGATCCCGTGATTTAGCTGTGTAACTATTTCAGCCTTTTCTTTGGTTAATACAAATGGGTGTGATTTTATTTAGGTTTACTACAGGGCTCTTGTAGCTTTGCTTGAAATTAATTTCCTCTTTTAGCCTATTTAAACACACCCACACCTATAAACACAATCTAAATATTTAACAGTCATCCTAGAGAAGCAGCTATGTAAGTAAGTATCCTTTTGAGTTCCTCAGATATTGCCATGGAAATACGAAATGGATTTCTTACAACTCTACCATTTAGTGACATGAAGACTTACTAATGGTGAACGACATTAATTCTAAGTATAAAGACTACATTAATGGAGTTTGCCTACATTTTCCATTTATGAAAGACTCATTCTGACATCATTTAACATTTGTACAGTAATTTCCAAAATAAACATTATTTTCCTAAGGCTCATTATTAGCCCTTAAGGACTCACAAAATAGAATAGCTCTGAGCTGTGAAACTAGTAAGCTAAATATCCACATATTCAACAAGAGTGTAATCTAATGTATAACAATTATATCCCTAATTGCACAAAGTAAAAAAAAATAAGACTTTTATTATTATGCAATAATAAAAGAGAAATTTCCTGGGGCAGCATAAGTTGTTCAGGGGAGAGAGACTAATACTATCCATTCAAGACTAGAGTTTAGCAAAGATAGGTACAATCAGGAAGCTTAAAACAAATCTCTTCCATGAACTGACTAGATGGCTTTTCCAAATACTTTTTTGTTCCTAATTTACAGAACAGTTGTAAGCATAAAAAAGTGATGTATGCAATTTCCTCTGAACATTGATACTCTGAAAAAAGTGATAGCATGTCTCCTCCACAAGAAGACAACACCCAACCTAGATATATTGGTCAATTGCTTGTCTCCAAACTCCACTTTAAGGGAAAATTGTGAAGAAAGTGATTGGGCTGCAGCTGCAAGAGGATCTTGGAGGAAATGGGTTGTTAGATCCATTTCAATCAGGTTTCAGCCCAGGTTCAGAATGGAGATAGCACTGATCATGTTATAGATGGGTTTCTGGTTGGACTGTGATGGGGTAGTACTGACTCTCCTGTCCTGCTTGACCTCTTAGCAGGATTTCAACACCATCAGTCATGGTATTCAGCTCCTATTCAACATTTACATGAAACCACTGGGTGAGATTATCTATTGGCATAGGGACATGTTTCATCAGTATGCTGATAAAACCCAATTATACATCTCAACTCCTGGCCAAATACGTAATGCTGTTAAAGTGCTGCCAGGTGTCTAGAGACTGTCTGGGTCTAAATGGAGAGAAACAGGTTGAGATTCAATCCCAGCAAGGCAGAGTGGTTTGGGCTCAGAGACATACAAAATCTAGTGAATGTACTTCCTCATCAGTGCTAGTTCACAACTTGAGGAGCTTCTTAGACTCTCAACTCCTGCTCAAGGAGCAGGTGGCAACTGTAGCCATGAGGACATTTGCACCGCTCCATCTTGTGCACCAATTGCAATCTTTCATGGAATGGATGGTATTAATTATTGTCACTCATGCCTTAGTCACTTCTTGACTAGACTACTGCAATGGGATCTATTTGGGTCTACATTTGAAGAACATTCATAAGCTACAGCTAGTCCAGGACATAGTGGTTCAAGTAGTTATAGGTATCCTTCAAGGAACCCACATAAAAACTCTTCTTCAGAAGCTAAACTAATTGCCATTTGGTTTCTTGGAGCAATTCAAAGTGTTGGTTTTCACATTCAAAACCCTTCATAGTTCAGGGCCTGAGTATCTACATACCATCTTCTCTCAGTAACGTCAGCCTGCCTGATAAATTTCAGTAAAGTGGGCTCACTACATGTCCCCTCTATCAGAGATTGCTACCTTTAGGGACCATAGAATTGGTGGTGGCATTTCATTTGCCACCACCCTCCTCTGGATAGTATCCTCCCTCATGTTAGATCAGCCCCTTCCTCCTGGTTTATACAAAACTAGAGAAAATGTGATTGTTTCATAAAGCCAGGATGGATTATAGACTGGTTTTTATTGTTTTGGTCGTGACTCCTGGTTTTATAGGATTACAATGGATAATGCTGTTTTAATTTGATTTATATTGTTTAATTTTAATCCCAATTATGTACTAGGGAGCTATGCAATCAGCTGACTGGAGCAACCTATAAGCCCTATAAATAAATTATAAATTATAGAAATGCTAAATACCATTATCCACAAATGCTTCTTTTTGCTTGATAATAAAGTGAGCTGGAGTATAAAAAGAGAAAAGTTTCTCTTTAAGTATGTTCCTACTCTGATATCTAATACCCACCCACAGATTAATGTCAAGCGCTATAACCAGGTATATCTATATCCATCTATATTATCCTACCTCAGGCACATTATGCAAATACCCAGCTTTCTGAAAAATGCTGGGAAAGGTGGAAGGAAAGAGAAGAAGAGGACGGCCAGCAGCAAGGTGGATGGACTCAGTTACAGTGGTGGTGAGTGCACCGTTGGGAAACTTGAAAGAACACATTAAGGATAGATCTTCATGGCAGAAATGTATCTATGTGATCACTAGGAGTAAAAAACGACTTGATAGCACATAATCTATTTATACATACTTACATACAATATATATCTAAAGAGACCGTATTTACTGATTTGCAAATTACACAGTCACTAGTGATAAATGTGTTTTGCTTGAGTTTTTGCTCCTGTACTGTATTCAGAAAACCCTAATTAAAGAAACCTTGGCATATGAACCCAAACAGTGCCTTTTTTGACTATGCAAAATATCTGGTGCTTCAGAAGATAACACGTAAAACCTGTTAAAAGGAGAGGCTGCCTCAGTCTGGGTCAATAAGTGATGGAGCCCATATAAACATATTCCAATTAATTTCTAGGCAGCTCAATCTTAAATTTTATTAATTGTGTATTATAACACCACAGGGCAGTGTTTTTTAGTAAATGAACTTTATTAGTTTAAGTTTCGCCTGCAGCCTAATTCTGAAATGAATAGAATGACTTTATTTACTCATTTACCAAATGTTTAATTCTGATAGGGAACAAAAGCAGCAAGAAGATGGGAATGTGGTTCCAGAGTGCTATCATACAATAAGATCTATTGCAAATATGAAACTGATTTATGAATATGAAACTAATCCATTTGCTGAATTAATTCAACAGAATAGTAGAAAGGATAGTAGAAAGGCAGAGGTCCTTTCCAGCATGCCAAAACTTTCTCAGATATTCTGCTCCCAGGTTTTAGAAAGTCAGTAGATATTTGAGAATGATAAATATTGTTCGGTATGAAGATACCCAATAAAACAAGTACATGCTTTTAAAAATACTAAGGAAACTAATGCTGTATATTTATATTCATTTTGTAAGTTTAATTGCACACAGCTACAATTCCTCCTCTACTGATTATGTACTAGCAATGCAAAGAGAGCTTTATAAACATTTGAACTCTATCACAGAAAGTTATCAAGAACTGACCATGAAGATAATCCATAGGTAGCACTGTACTCTATTAAAATTAGATCCTAGTAAGTTTATATATCACATCTATAGGATTATAAGCACCTAAACATATTGAAAATTTAACTGCACACACACCAATGCCATACTGTATGATATCCTCCGTTCTACCCATGAGCTACTCATAGTGTCAAGAGAACACTGAATAGTTGTAAAATGAAACCAGCTTTCCCCAATCTCCAAATGTGTTGACCTGGGGTTATGGGAACTGAAGTCCAACACCAAGTTGTTTTGCCACTAGAGAGTTCTCAAACATCAAGAACTAACATTAGGTTAAAGATTCCCCAACAGGGCCCTAAAACCAGTAGCCCTGTTAAGAATAACGTAGGGAAGAAAGTAATATTTATTTGCCCACTTCTACAAACACGAAAAATCTACCATTCACACACCACAAACAGCAGTAGCATCAGAAAGGAGGGAGAAAGAGGTTACCTCGCCAAACGATGCAAAAGTACTTTTTTCTCTATTACAAAGTCAGCTCCTGACACTGGCCTCCAATATTTCTAACCATTCTTTGCACATCTAAGCATAATGTTAAGAGGACATCCAACCTTAACGACCCCGAAAGCACGTGGGGGATGGAAGGAGGCAGGGAGCCTTAGCCAAGCATGCACACACAGCCTGCCTGCTAGGATGAGGTTCTCCGCCGCTTCCCCGCCTCACCTCCCAGCCAGTTATCGGAGATATTCTGCAGCAAAGAGAAAGGGACGCAGAAGAAAGCAATGAGCAGGTCGCTGAGGGCTAGCGAGCAGATGAAGATGTTGGTGACGGTGCGCATGGCTTTGCGGCGGGCCACCACGTAGAGCACCAGGCAGTTCCCGAAAAGCGCCAGGCCGAAGATGGCCACGCAAGTGAGCAGGAAGGCCAGCTTGGTGCGCTCGGAGAGCTCCGGGATGTAGACCAGCGGCTGTAGTCCATAGAGCGCGATGAACTGCTCGCGGGTTACGTTGTTATCGCGCAAAAGCTGCGCGAATTGCTCCGGGGTGATATTTAGGGATCGCATAGCAAGGACGGGCAGATCAATCTTCTGTCCTCCCTCGCTCCTCAGACATGGTAGGCGTCGTCGGCTTTTGTCAAGGGATGGGAACTAGAATTCCCTTCAACTAAGCACACGCCTTTTTGTTAGACGGCATCAAGAGATCGTGGGCGAGGTCCTCGGAAGAACAGCCGACGGGCACCTCGTTCAATTTAGAGCATCTCCGTCCAAAATTCAGTAGAAATGAATACAACTGGGCGGAGGAATATCACGCCCACGAAGCCCGAAACTTTAGGGATGAAGGAACGCCGAGCGGCAAACTAATCGCGCGCTTCCCTGCTGTTTACTTAGCCCACAGGATTACAAAAGCCTGCGCAAATGAAGCGTCCTATGGAATACTTTATCCACGCCACTAGCCAATCGCGGAAGGCTGCTTCTCTATTCTTCCTCTCTGGGTCTCCGCCTTCAAAGTTTCCGAACTGCTGGCTGCGCTGAGCCGAGCCGAGATTGGTTAGCGAGAGAACAAGGTGGTGAGGAAGCTGGCGGTGCCTCCTGCGAGGACTGGCGCTTGAAAGGGACTGGAAGCGCGGCCAGTCAAGCAAGCTCGGAGAAAGATGCCAACGGGGACGCGTAGGAGGATGGCTGCTGTGCAGGAAGGAGCCTGAGGAGCGCCAGAAACCGAAGGAGGATTCTTTAAACAAGGTTTCCCAGCTTGGTGCTCCCCAGGTGCATTGGGATTACAGCCTCTAGTCAAAATCCTGGGATTTGGCGCGCCTGGAGGACACGTTGAAGAAAGCTGCTTTAATTCTCTGGCGTGCTTAGAGTGGCGCAGTTGGGGCTGTTGTTACTTAGCCAGTCTGAGTTTCAGGCAATTGCATAGCTTGAAATATTAAGGCCAAAGTTGTTAAGATCACAGCACTTGAAATCCAGGAGGAAGACCCATTATGGCAGTGCAACTCCAATGCTATTTAAAGAACCGGAGCCTGTTCCAGTTGAGGTAAATTGAGGGTGGGAAACTAAGTATCATAATAAGGAACCAATATTCTTCTGAAAATGGCATTTGTCTTTTGGTTGCTGTCTTGCAGTTCAGTCTTTTCTTCTAAGCATTATGCAAAGAAGACATGCCTGTGCTGGGACCAGTTAAAACAGCTGCCGGTTGCTTGTATTCTACACTGAGCCCTTTAAAAACATAATGTCACACAATGTATACAAATGCAGCAGCCATGCCAAACAGTTATGTCACCCGTCTTGACCCTGGCCTTGTTTTTGTAGTCAGCCTAGCTCACTTTCTAGGAATGGTTTCATAGAACAATCATTCATAGTCATTGATACATTTTGATATATCATTCCTGCAAGGAACTGAAATCCCACTCACACTTGAAGCAGTGCCATGGCAAAAGAGACAATTATCTGGCTGTCACACACTTTCGTTATAGCATCAGCTAAAGATTTATTTCCCAAGGACTTCTTTTTCTAAATCAGTTTATTACTACCAGTCCTTTTTATCCTTGCATCCTATAATAAAATTATTCATCTTCAGAGGACCATAATACTTTGATTAATAAAAACTGTTAATCTACTATTACCCTCTGTGTTCTGCCCCATTTTGTGGACATGTTACTCAGATCTTTTGATCTATCCTTCCAAGCATGGATTTCCCCATACAATAATGGCTATAATCACTCATTTCATACCACTTAGATACTAAATCTTCTAGTTGTTACCCAGGTCTTGGAGTAATTAAATCTTAGAAGATCCCAGAATGTTTTGCATGTACCAGCAATCTTGGGATTCTCCACTACTGAGATATTGTATGAGGAGAGCCATGTTAGTCTATGGTAGCAAAAAATCAGGAGTCTGGCAGCACCTTTTCTAACTTGCCAATGTTATTAAAGGCATAAATTGAGCTGTAGCTCAGGAAAGATCTTGTTTTTTAATAAAATTTGTTGCTCAGAAAAAGTGCTACCAGACTCCTCCTCCTACTGAGATATGACCACTAGGGATAAACAGCTGTCTGGATAGCTAAGACACACAAACTTTCTGTAACCTCATCATTCTCAACATTTTCTTGCAATGTGTCTGTCTTTTTATCTATGCTTCTCACTGTACTACAAATTGTCTGTATTCCCGATATATCTGTAAGATGAATGCTTTCAGACCGAATTGCCATAAATAATCCGCTTATTGTGGAGTGCAGAGAAAACTCTAAGGTGAGTTCATCCTGCCTGAATAGATTTCAGTTCTGTAATTTAATGAGATTAGAACACTCTGGAGTTAACAACTGTCATTTTTACTATTTTAATTCAATCAAACAAAAGCATTTGGTGACTAGGAAGTATGATTAATGTTTATCAGTAGGTTTTTTTGAAATTAACTTTTTGTCATTTGTACTAAAACAAGTTTATGACTCACAAAATGATGGGATGGTATATTGGTATATCCCACTAGCAAATATTATTTCAATATAATTGAAATAAATAAATAATAAAAAGCCTTTCAAGGATGCTTGGTGACAAATCCTAGTACTGCAATTTGACAACAGTTTGGCCTTCTGAAATCCCACAATGCAATCAGAGGGCATTCTTGCAAAACATCATGCAGTTTGTGCACTACCGGTTGGGTACTCTTAGTTTAGCTACTTGTTACCAGGCATGGTGTAATACAAAATATTTTAAAAAACAGATTTATCCATCCATCTGAATAACCTTTCCCTGCTCTGTGCCCCAAAGTTATCCTCCTTGCTCCAGTGCAGGGTGGGATGCAATCACATTGTCAGTCTAATCAGCCATAGGGGTCTGCAGCAAAGCAAGGTGACATCAATATAACATCATGACACAGTTCTTTGTGTCATGATGTTATGAGGTGTGCTTCATTCACATGGCCCTTGAAATTAGCCTTAATAAAGGATGGAGGCAGTAGGCCATGTTGTTCTTTTCAAATAATGATAGCTTAGGCTGTCAGGTCCAATTTAACAGTCACTTAATTTAGAGGAACAAGATATTCAACTGTAAATTCCTCTTCTTCAAGAGGATGGACATACAAAGCTTGGTGTTCTTTTAGAGAAACTGGCATATTATATTGAAATGGTTCCAGTGAAATATTTTCCTAGAATTACAAAATTAAATACAATATTGGCTAGGAATCCAAATCGGTAAACTTGCTAGATCCTATTACAAAGGGGAAATAGGAAGTCCAGCAAAAAAAAAATTGAACTATGGTATGATCACTGTTTTCAATTAGGTGGCATTATTTAGTTGACTGTTGCTGAACTCAAAAAGCTAATCATATGAATGATATCAACAATTCCCTGAATGATACAAACTAAGAAGTCACTAGAAGCTGAATCTGAGATGAAGGTGACTTTTTTTTTTTTTTTTTAATCTGCGGCCATGTCAGATTTCAGGATTTTATGACATGGAGCTGGCAACAAATTTAGCAGAATCAATTAAGGAGAATTTTAAGCAAAAAAAGGGGAAAAGAATATTTAGAATGATAGTAAAGCAATGACACATCAGCTGCTTTATTGGCAAATGGAGACACATACATTTTTGGTTGTTTATGCTCACCCCATGGAAGACACTGTTGTGCCTCCTTCCTACTATGGTACCAGGACTGAATTCACTATTTACATATAGAAGGAATACATTGAGAAAGGGGACCTCTTGTATATCATCGTGTTCTCTCAGAGAATTGAAAACTTAGGTTAATAATTTCAAGGGAGAGTTTATCATATATAGTATATGGGTAGACCCTGGACCCTTTTCAGTCAGGATTCAGGCCACACTATAGTACCAAAACCGCATTAGTAACACTTGTAGATGATCTTTGGGGGCTCAGAATGGGATGGTGTGTCCATCTTGGCTCTTCTGGATCTCTTGGCAGCTTTCAATATCATCAACCATGGTATCTTGCTGGACACAAGGGTGGGACGCACTGTTTAGCAGTGGTTCTCCTTCTTTCTCTGTGGCCAATACCAGTCAGCGTTGGTGGGGAGGGAGAGGTCCAGCCCTAGGCCCCTGTTATGTAGGTGCCTCAGGGCTCTCTCCCCTCCTATTTAACATCTATATGAAGCCACTGGGAAAGGTGATCTGGCAGCATGGGGTTTGGTATCATCACTTTGCTGATGATACCCAATTATACATCTCTTCCCCATGCCAGGCAAGTGATGCTGTTCAGGTGTTGGCTCAGTGCCTGGAGGCTGTAAGGGCCTGGATAGCACTCAACCCTATAAGATGGAGTGGTTGTGGGCCTTTGCCCCCCTCCCCCAAGGTCAGAAGAGTTGACATCTCAGACTCTGGATGTGGTGACATTTTGTGCGCCAATTGCTTGCCTTCCTGGGTCAGGAAGCCTTGCTCACAATCATTCTTGCTGTATGGATTATTGCAACACACCCTACATGGGGCTGCCCTTGAAGATCATTCAGAAGCTGCAACTGGAATGTCTGGAATGCAGCAGCACATGCAGTTTTGGGTGCCCTGTGATTCATCCAAGTTACCCTACTGCTGCAGGAGCTGCATTGGCTTCCAGTTGCTTTCTGGGTGCAATTCAAGGTGCTGGTTAACACTTTTAAAGACCTACATGGTACAAGGCCAGGTTATTTGCAGGACTGCCTCTCCCTGAAGGTATCCGCCCATCCTACTAGGTTAGAAAGGATGGGCATGCTCCAGGTCCCCTCCTTTAAATGTTGCCACCTGATGGGATCTCCGAGGCACACCTTCTTGGTGGCTCCCCCAGCCCTTTGGAATAGTATCCCACCTGAGATCAGAGGCCTGTCTACCCTTTTAGCCTTCTAGAGGCCCATGAAGACCTCGCTCTTCCCCCAAGTATTGGGATAGGATGGAGGTTGAGCTGGGAGGCTATTTGGTCTGGTGCCTGGGGGGAAGGGTACCTTAGTTTTTATCTTTGTTTTTATGGAATGTTGTGAGCTGTCTAGAATTATTATATGAGAGAAGCCATCATATAAGTCCTGTAAATAAATAAATAAATAAATAAAATAATAGAGCGAGAAAGACAGAAAGTACAGGTAG